AAAAAATTGTAAAGTAGCTCATCACCAGTTCCATTCCATTCCCTCCACATTCTCTCATTCAAATAGGTCTGCAGTTTTTCTCTTGAAATTCCCTTCCGCTCTTTCTGCTTAAGCTTCAATTGATTCCATTTGGATTCAATTCCCTGTGTGTGTACCCCGGTCACGGGATCAACAAAATTCAGGGAGTGATTTACCACTCTGTGAGTGGCTACTTGCTGGGGAAGGAATCKTCCTATCTGGTCGTAGGCACTATAGTCGTCGGTGTGCAGCACACTGTTCGGCCGGAGACACCTGCCAAGTATCGGCAGAAGGGTATCTCTATTTCTTCTTTCCACTACTTCGTAGTAACCTCTGGCTGGCTGATATTCGGTGGTTATCACTCCGAACACCCATATTTCTTGAGTGCGCCTTCCCCTGTTGTACTATAAAACGCAATATAATTAAAGATAAATTTCTAAAGTCATTTGCACATTATCTAAGGGTATGTTGAGATTTTCAATGAAAAGAGAACAGATGCATTAAATTGGCAGCGATAGTAAACGTTTCTTATTACACGTTTAGTGTAGATATCCGTGAGGTAAATCAAACCCGTGTTTTAAAAAAACAGTGAATGTATACGATGAAATGATACGATASTCATCTGTCATGGTAAACCTGTCCCATGCATCAATTCTCCCGGTATATAATACTTTGAACAATCACATTGCTTGTACCCGGCATTATGTGACGTGGGATGATGATAGAGTTTTTTTTTTTATTCAAACACGTGTTTTAATTTTTCTCTTTTTCTAAAAGCGGATAATTTGTTAATTTTATATGTATATATATGAAATGAATTATTTTTGTTCTCAATTTACACATATTACGAGCCTGCATGACATCTTTCTTTTTTTATTCGGTTTCCGTATCATGTCGCTGCAATAATCTCTCTATACATTTCCCCAAACTAATGTATAATAATCGAAAACTGTTATTTATTAGTCACCCACTAAGGAATTATCGTACAGCATGGTATAAGTCTTAATCGTCTTTGATCTTKTACCCGTATTGCTCGCAAAAAAAAAAATTAAAAAATATTACCTTGCGCTTGTGGTTGAATTTGCTTTCGTCGCATTGCACCACGCAGTTCGGGCCGCCAAAAGGAAGGAAGGAAGCKTATTGTTCTATCGAATTTGAACACACGCCGTCCAAAAGTCCAAAAAATTTTGTTACCACGTTGCGACTTAGGCGAAGGGCACTTGCTGTTTGCGTGCGACTGTTTCCTTGGCACCAGAAGAAAATCATCATGATGGCATCTCCCAATGGTATTTTTGGAATCAGTGCAAAAATACTATTGCATCTGATGGAACGCTTTTTTTGACATCTGTTGCACTTCCTGAAAATAGAATAACGATTGTGAAGAGGTGTGAAAAAACATCATGAATAAATTGAAATAGACCTATTCAGCGTCCTTGACAACGCGTTGTCAAGGACGTTGAAATGAGTCTACAGCTGTAACTCTGTTTTTTTTTTTAACGAAACGCGTCCAAATTTTTCAGACCTACTATATAGGCTTTCTCAAATGACAAAATAGTTTTGCTAATTAGATCAAAATCAAAAACTCGTCCTAGTTCATTGCATGTTAGTTTTCTTAACAGTTTGCAAGTGCGTTTTTGTTGCTGTGAGTTTATCTTTTTGATCAAATTCCTCTGTCATCACCGCGTTTGCTTTTTGTTAGAATCGATTTTGTTCCTTTGCCACGCTCCATTTTGCCAATTATGTTTGTTATGTTCGCTATCGGGCTCTTCTGTGCGTGTCAGACTGTGTGCGCGATGTGTTTTAATTATTGAAAACAAAGAAACAAAAACAAAAACAAACAAACAAACAAAAAAACAAACAAAAAACAAACAAACAAACAAAAACAAAAATCGGTATTTTTCATAGCGGAGAACATCAGATAAAAAAACTGATATATTTATTTACATATATAAATAAATTTTAATAGTGTTTGAGGTTAGTCAGAGTGGTTTCTTTATTTCTTTCTTAATTATACATTTTTATTGAAAATTTCGAGATTACCGTTTGTATTCTCGTATTCTGTGAGAAAAATCCCGTACTCAATATTATCAAAAGATCTTGGCCGCAATATTGAAAAACGCTTATCACAGGTAGCCCACACTACTTTGGACTTTGAAGGAATCACGTAGTAAACAATAAACCTTATTTATTTGGGTTTGTCCATTTAAGATATGGCCAAGTGTCAAGTTCTCTCTACTGGAATATTTATAAGTTTCTTTGTTTGAGTTGTATCCATATTCATGTGTCTTCTCATGTGAAACCGTTAAAAAAAGAAATGATACTCTAGAGAATGACATGGGATCTCATATCGGGGTCTGAGAAGGAAAATGGCGGCTGTTCAGATCTGAAACCCAGATTACATTTGAAGTCCTTACCAGGCGATTTTCCATGATAGAAATT